AGTAGTAGTAGTAGTAGTAGTAGTAGTAGTAGTAGTAGTAGTAGTAGTAGTAGTAGTAGTAGTAGTAGTAGTAGTAGTAGTAGTAGTAGTAGTAGTAGTAGACTATAAGTACGAGGATCAAAGGACTGAAAGTTGTAAGAGCTGACGGTCACGCAGCCGCTCATTTGTCGGGCGCGTTCGAGACACGAGAAAGTCCGACACGGGAAATGACGAACTGCAATTCAAGTCGACATCACCACTTGCCTTCTCTTTCCTTTTCCCTTGGGACATACCCGGATTCAACCTCTTAGGTAATTCCACCGTTTGAAAATAACTTCCACTTCCTTCCTTCCCCCCCAACTTTCCCCATCTGTGGCGCCAAACGTCCTCCGTTGCCCTCTTCGTCACTCTGTTCCACGGCTCCTCATTAACCTCCGCGCAGGTTCTCCTACTCCTCTACTCTACCCACTGACTTGACCTGCAACGACTCCTCCCCCTCTCCCCTTTCTTTTAACACCACGCCTTTCTTTTCCTGCGAAACCCTGCTTCCAATCATACACACGCTGGTCACCGTCCACCAGTCTCTGGGGAGCCCATTGGAGCTCCCGTGCTCACCATGAAGGCTACCCCGTTGCTCATCGCATGGCACAACGATAATGCCCCAATCTACTCGGTTCATTTCGACCCCAATGGTAAAGGTCGCCTGGCGACGGCCGGAAAGTATGCTTCCCTGTTTTGATACTTGGTTTGAAGAGCTGGGTACTAATATGTTCGCTCTATAGTGACAACAATGTCCGCGTACGGTCCCCTCACCACCTTATCTTCCCCCCGTGACCCTCCCCTTCCTGTGATCATACCCACCATTTCTGACAGATACCACCATAGCTATGGAGAGTGGAATCAACAGGCGAAGAACGAAAGGTGTCCTACCTGAGTACACTGGTGAAACATACACAAGCCGTCAATGTCGTTCGGTTCAGTCCAAAAGGTGCGGGTTGCGATCTTTCACGCGGGAGCCGTTTTTCCCGTGGTAGCTAACCTCTCATTTAGGCGAGATGCTGGCATCTGCTGGAGACGACGGTAACGTGCTCCTTTGGGTACCGTCGGAGCTGCAGACCCAGGCTCCACTGGGAGAGGATCGGTCGGATGATAAAGAGACATGGAGGGTGAAGCATATGTGTCGCTCTTCCGGAGCTGAAATTTATGACCTTGCGTGGTCCCCGGACGGCGTGTTCATCATCACAGGGAGTATGGACAATATTGCGCGGATATACAACGCCCAAACAGGTACGTTGCTGCTCAGCCCGTACTTCGTCTTCGTGCTCCTCCTTTTCGTCAATGGGTTGCTGATCCTTGAAACCCGCAGGACAAATGGTGCGCCAGATCGCGGAGCATTCGCATTATGTTCAAGGAGTGGCTTGGGATCCCCTCAACGAATTCGTGGCCACGCAGTCATCGGACAGATCTGTACACATCTATAGCCTGAAGACAAAAGATGGCCAGTTCACACTTACCTCTCATGGCAAGTTTTTGAAGATGGACTTGCCGGCCAAGCGTATCTCGGCCAGTCCGGCGCCTCAGGACACATCCGTCCGGTCGCAGCCGGCTAATGCCAGTGCAGCTGCAATCACTTCTCCAGCGCCGTCGACTCCGGGCACGCCAATGGCTAACTTGCCAATGGACCCTCCACCCGTTTCCCATAGCCGCAGGTCGTCATTTGGTTCCTCCCCATCGATCCGCCGCTCTGCATCCCCGGCGCCATCTCTACCGTTGCCAGCCGTGAAGCCTCTGGAAGTACCATCACCGGGGCTTCTAGGTGGGCTGGGCGTCAAGAATGCTAACATCTATGCCAACGAAACTTTCACGTCCTTTTTTAGGCGATTGACTTTCGCTCCCGATGGCAGCTTGCTGTTTACACCGGCAGGCCAGTACAAGACTTCGCATATGTCTGCGACAGATCCCACCAAAACTACGGACGAGGTCATCAATACCGTTTACGTGTATACTCGGGCAGGTTTCAACAAACCTCCAATCTCCCATCTTCCAGGCCACAAGAAACCTTCTGTTGCGGTAAAATGCTCTCCCATCTTTTATACCTTGCGACAGACCTCCCAGCCGGCTCGTCATATTACTTTGGATACTTCTTCTGGAGAGGAGACATTTGCCTCTCTTCCGGATCCTGTAGTAAATTCAACAACTGACCGTCCATCTATGGAGCCTCCAACATCGGCACATACCGCGGGCGACACGGCAAGGATCAACCAGACATCAAAGGACGAGAGCCCTTCCACCACTCCAGGACCAATGCCTGTTTTTGCATTACCTTACCGAATCGTATATGCAGTGGCTACTCAGGACTCCGTCTTGGTGTATGATACCCAGCAACAAGCTCCGATATGCGTAGTCAGCAATTTACACTTCGCAACTTTTACTGATTTGACATGGTAAGTCTATTTCCTTACCCAGACCATGTAGTAATTTAACAATTGATTAGGTCGAATGATGGTTTGACATTGATAATGAGCTCGTCGGATGGCTTCTGTTCTACTCTTACGTTTGCACCAGGAGAGTTAGGTCAACCCTATACTGCTCCAGTGTCAACCGCCCACCAGACTTCAGCTTCTAGCGTGCAGTCCACAGGTCATGCACCAAACTCGGCCAAACCAATCCCGGGAATGACCCCAGGCAACGCAACTCCAATACCTCCAGTGCCTCCGGCAAGCCCTGCGCGGTCTAACTCTGTATCCTCGATTGCCACGCAATCTACTGCTGCGCAGCAAGCCACGGGGTCTGTTGTCAATAACCCGACACCGACACTCGGATCTGTGCCGTTAGTCACAGCAACGCATTCGTCACAACCACCAACTCTGCCACTTACTACGCCGCCGCAGACACCGATGTCGGCTGTCGCTCAGAGCGGGACAAGTACTGTCAGTAACAGTGTTCTAGGCAAGCGAGCCAGCGAGTCTGAAAAAGAGGACATTAAGGACCAGCATTGTGTTCCACAAGTACAGCAGCCGAAGAAGAGACGAGTAGCGCCGACTCTCGTTTCCACTGGCAATGGCCCCTCGTCCTCGAAAGATGGTTCCCAGAATACCGACGTTGGCGGCTAATGCTCCTTATTCCACCAAGCTCCATTTAAACCTTCCCAGACGGATGTATAAAACCCTGTTCCTTTGCCTACTGAGTCGACTGCGGATGACTCGAGTGCCTATGATATCTTTGTTATGAGTAATGTGTTCTTTTCCTTCCGTTCTACAAGACTCCGCATCATGTTTAACGTCCTGTGGGATTTGCCTACCGTGTTCTGGGATCTTGGTAGAGTTTAATAGTTATGCATCTGCTCACTGTTGGCGCTTCACCTTTCTTTATTCTGTTATTCCCTCTATTATTGTTATCCAGTCGGCACTCTTCGGGATACCTCTGCATTTGCGGTCTTTCAACCCTCTTCACGCCGAACAAGCTTGCAGTACTTGGGCGTGAGATCGAATTTATTGGTGTTATTATTCTACGGCTGTCTTGTTTTCTGGGCCTTGCGCTTCGTGCTCCGATCGCCTTTCCGTGTGCAAGAAGAATATCGCGTCGGTTGAGTGGTGAAAATGGTATGCTTTTATGATTGTGATCTGAGCAGACATCTCGATGATTACCATGTGTATGTTAGGCGGTATTCCTTGGGAACACAATATTGTTCATGACGGCTACTTTGTTTTGATATCCGATAATCCATGTTATATCATCTTTACGTTGATGTACAGCTTAATCTAGTAAGATTAAAAAAAATACATTCTTCTGTCTACTCCTCTAGATACATTACCATTATATCCCTTCCGACTTCGTTTATATTAGGAAAAAAGACCTAGACAAGTTATGAAAGACAATGAGAAGGCCTGAAACTACACACGTTCCAGGCGAAACCGAAAGAAAACGTAGAGGATATTGTTGGTTGAGCTTGAACTTCAGAATGTTTGTCAAGCGCGGATCTTTCAGTAGGCTGCACTGACCCCGTTGCTTATGACATTCAGCCCGTTGTTCCCATTCCCGCTTTGACAATCATGGCAACCGTTCGTTACCGGAGAACATAGGGCATTTACAACGCTTGCCACGCTCATGTCACTGGGGAGTACGGCTTTGGCCTCGGTAGCATGGACGCCGACGGTAAGAGTGGTAACACTTGAGACTATGCCAGTAGATTGTAAGCGGTTTGCCCAGCGGAATAGAGCTTCATCACCGCGGGAGCCGCCCGCTACAAACAGGAAGTCAGGATTTTGACCTAATTGACCCATGACGGATTCAGCAGCGTTGGCCTTTGTAATGTCCAAGGGTTCAACGCTCACTGCACCATCTGTAAGAACAATCCGGATGGCTTCGCTGCCACGTGTGCCGTTGATCTGATCAGCAAGATCGGAGGCCTGGCGGGCAGCAATTTCAGGATCATGAGCGTGATTATACAGAAAGCTTAGTATGCAGCGGCGCTCTTCCAACTGGCTTCCCTCAGTCCTTTCTTGGTAGTACTGGATGACTTTGCGAATTCCATTCCTCCAGTCTTTGGCCTTCGCCATGTCCACCAACGCCCGCCACTGAGTTTCTCCGATGTCACGTACGAAGCAGCCGTTCTCGGCGATCAGTCCCACTCGACTAGTCACCCTTTTAAAACTAGATTCAAGCTGTTCCGGGCTTTTGTTACTAGTCACGTATACTTTGTTCTTTGGGTCAAGGAGCAAGCGGTCCAAGAGCGAGCCCAATTCAAAGGAAGACTTCGAGTCATCGGATTGAAGAATCCCGTCGTCCTCGAGGAAGAAGAGTCGTGTGTTAGATTTCTCATATGATTCTTGTAAGCTGTGTACTGAAAGAGACGAAACTTGACTGAGCTCGCGAGAGAGCTGCGTGCTGTGGGCCTTGTGGAGAGCTGCCTGAAACGACTTGTACCACGCAATAGCAGTACAAGGTGCCTTTTTCTCAAGCAGATATTCCCAGTTACGCTGTTTCTGATCTGGTGACATCTCAAGCGCCTTGTGGATTGTATCTGCAACTTCTCTGTAGTCCCATGGGTTGACAAGCAATTCATGGCCACTGAATATAGAAGCGCTCCCAGTGAATTCACTAAGGATGAGAGAGCCATGGCGCTGGGACGTAACCTTTCCATCTTGACAATGGAGGTAATCGTGACTTGTAAGGTTCATACCCTCCCTCAGGCTTGTCACCATGAAGATGTCAGCCACGCTCATTAAAGCTAAAAACTGCGAGTAACTGATATCTTGTCGTAAGAGTACGAGAGGTTGATGCGTTAATGTCGAATAAGTGGAATTTATCCTCATGGCAATCTTCGAGACTTGCGCCTCCAACTCAGGTAGCTCCGACGCCGAAGCGACTTGAACGAGGACAACCTGGATCAGTTAGCATACAAGACCTGGGGTAAATGGAAAGGCTCATCTCAGACATACATTGTCTCTCCACTTCGGGTATCTTTTCAGAAACAGCTCATAAGCTAATAGCTTCTGCTTGATACCACCGGGTGCATCAAGCCTATCTCGAGCGACGATCAGACGTTTCCCACTATATCTGGAAATAATGTTCGTAATCCAATCCTTCACCTCGGCTGTCTGACGCAGCTCATTAAGTGCTTGATAATCGATCCCGATTGGCAAACGTTTCACGTGGACAAAGCGTTGTGGAAGTTGGACTCCATCGACGGACACCTCCAAACTTAGGAGCCGACTGCAGGACTGAAGAAAGTGGTAACAATACTCCTCTGTCTGGAAAGAAACGAGATCAGCGCCCAGAAGACCGTTGAGTAAAGCACCTCGTGCATTGAGACACCTGAAAATTTCAGAAGAGGGGAATGCAGCATGCATGGAGAAGCCGATTTCTGCGCCTGGCAGCTTCTCCCGGAGCAACGCTGGCAGGAGTAGAAGATGATAATCATGAATCCAGATACTATCTCCTGGGCGCCAGCACGAAGCGATGGTGTTAGCAAATGCCTCGTTTACTTTCACGTATTGCTTCCAGGAGTAGTCGTCATACTGGGTGTGCCGAGGGCTTTCCTGCATCTGATAATGAAAAGCTGGCCAGAGGACTGCACGACAAAAATGCGAATAGTGCCCTTCAAACTCCTCATCGCCGACAAAGACTGTGAGGGAGTTGTAGTTATCCTCGAGCGTCTCTCCGATTCTAGCGCGTGTTTCATCTTTCAGTGAGTCGGTCGGCATACCCAGAGTGCCTACCCACATCTTGTCTGACAGGATGCCTGCTCTTTCAGCAGCAGCGACAGCATTTCGCATACCGCCATTGCCCTGTTCTGCTGATTTCACAACCCAATCATGGTCACAGAGTAATGCGCGCGGGCTTCCAGGGTCCTCTTCCGACTCTGGTGTCTCTAGGACTCCATCAACGTATAATGGCTGGTCATAACCGTCACCTGGGTTTGGACGGCTCAGGATCGATGGCTCAGGAGGACCAGTAGCCTTGGAACGAGGCTGGTTAAATTTGCGGCTCTGACCCCAGGAAACAACGCGAGGTTCGCTGGGACCCGGGCCGTAGGGGTCATCCGCGGAAGCAATCTCGCCCGCAGCACGCGAGATGTAAGGTTTGAAGATCTTCTCATCTTCCGTCGTAGCGCCGGGGGTAAGCGATAAGCTGTAACCCCTCGAGCGACGTCTCCGTCGCGCTTCAGCTAGCCGCCCTACGATCCGGTCATCTGAATGAGAGTAGCTTGTAGATGACTTCCGGCGATGCCTGTATTCGGTGGCGCGGAAGTCAATCGTATAGGGGAGGAACCTATCAAAACCGATCAGATACCATTTCGACCAGAAGAATGGGAGAGAAGGAACGAGTGAGACGACTTACAGTGAGACAAGAAAGACCGTCATTGATTAGATGTTTTGGGAGTTGAGGACCTCTCTACCTGTACTTGAGGAAAGATCTAATTGTGTATGTACCCACTGTTCAAGAGGAATACGATGGATTAAGGTTGGTATGTGCAGTATAATGGTCTGCAGTCAGACTTGAGCATCTGTGTTTTCCGGGCCAAGGGATGGTGAAGGTTGAAGGACCAAGTCTACATTCTATATGTTTTGCAAACCAATGGAACAGCGATCCTGAAAATTCCGGCGGGAAGTTAGACAACCGAGAAGCATAATGAATGACCCAAGGAAAGACGGTCGTTGCGATTGGACCATGGAACTCGTGCGGTTGTGAGAGAGCAGGTGAAAGGGTAAAAAGAACATTCTGGGCTTTTCGAGGGGACGAAACCAAGAGCGCAAAAAGCAGGTGATGGATGCCTCAAAGGAGGGGTATCTCTCTGCCTTGGGCGTGATTCGGGCGCGGGGCTCATGAGATGGAATCATGGAATTGAGGCTATTGGTTTCACAACGTGACCAACCGCATCAGAAAAAAACAGAACCTGACTGGAAACGTGGGAATAGTTCGTTCAAGCTGTCCTGGACTGTTGTTCACTGTCCAATCGTACCCATGACGTCTTGATTCCCGGGTTGATCCGCGGGTCGGTTTTACCCACTGCGCTAAGATAGCGTTAGGCGATGATTCTCGACAGTTCGACAAGTCTAGACCCACACGCGTTTTCTATCGACCAGGGAAAATGTCCTGCAAGAGCGAAGCACATGGAACCTGGCGAGGGAAAGTCATTCGGTCGTAAGGAGTTGGTTATCCCCCCTGAGAAGTGTGGGAGAGTTGGGCAGGAACAGGGCCATCATGGGAGAGATAGTATGAACCCGAAGGAAGAAGAGAAGCAAGTGGATACTTGCTGGATCACAGCATCCCGTGAACGAAAAGGACCTTAAGCCTGTTTTGGGCGGCAGAAGACAAAAGACTCAAACAAGACAATTCAGACCAAACCTGGCATCACGAGTCATTCCTTTTCCGAGTGTTGATATCGACCGATCAGGTCATCACTTGTTCCCCACCCTAGCGGTATTCACGCCCCCATATGCCTCATCTCATTCATAATATAATACTATCTTCGTAACCCTATCTACAAAAACTTTAATTGCTTCTTCTCCCGTATCTTCTGTTTCCACTTCGGACACCCCTCTCGAGTTCTGTCTATCCCTCATGGCTTCTACCGACTCATCGCTGGGCGACTCACGCCTGCTGATCGTTTCCAATCGCCTTCCCATCACCATTAGACGATCTGAAAATGGCAAGTATGAATTTTCGATGTCTTCCGGTGGACTAGTGACCGGATTGAGCGGTCTGTCCAAGACAACAACCTTCCAGTGGTACGGTTGGCCAGGATTGGAAGTCCCGGAGGATGAGGTCCCTTCTGTGAAGCAGAGACTCAGAGACGAGTTCGGCGCAACTCCGGTCTTCATGGATGACAAGTTAGCGGATCGTCACTATAATGGCTTCTCCAGTAAGTGCTTTTCCTCAAATTCCGGCGCCAGTGTCAGACTTGCAGCCACCTCCTCTCTGGCTGATGCCCTAGCAGCGGGACCGTGCTAATGTGACTCGTTAGACTCGATCCTTTGGCCTCTCTTGCACTATCATCCTGGTGAGATTGTGTTTGATGAGGGTGCCTGGGATGCCTACCGTGAGGCAAATCTTCTATTCGCCAAGACCATCGCGAAGGAAGCTCAAGAGGGTGACCTGGTCTGGGTGCATGATTATCATCTCATGCTTCTACCAGAATTGCTTCAGGAGCAACTTACTCTCCTGGGAAAGAAGAATATTCGGATTGGATTTTTCCTCCACACACCATTCCCCAGTAGTGAGATCTACAGAATCCTGCCCGTTAGAGCCGAACTTCTGCGAGGTTTGCTGCATTGTCACTTGATCGGCTTCCATACCTATGACTATGCACGCCACTTCTTAAGCAGCTGTGCTCACATACTGTATGTATAACAAGAAGCTCCTCTTCCTAATTATGCACCAGCTAATAAGTCTCTCCAGCGGATTAGTGACGACCCCTAGCAGTGTGAAATACGAAGGCAGGTCTATCAATGTCGGGGCTTTCCCCATTGGAATCGACCCCGACAAGTTCACTGAAGGCTTGAAGAGCCCGAAGGTGCAAAACCGCATCGCCAGCCTTGAGAATAAATTCCAGGGAACAAAATTGATGGTCAGCGTTGACCGCCTGGATTATATCAAGGGTATCCCTCAGAAGTTACACGCACTGGAAGTCTTTCTCCAAAACCATCCAGAATGGGTGGGTAAAGTCGTCCTGGTACAAGTGGCTGTCCCAAGTCGCCAGGATGTCGAAGAATACCAGAATTTAAGAGCGGTAGTAAATGAGCTAGTGGGCCGAATTAATGGCAAATTCGGTAAGCCGGGTCTTTGTGACACTCCTATGATAGTTTCACACTAACCAGTACAATAGGAACGGTGGACTACATGCCCATTCACTTCATGCACAAGTCAGTGAGCTTCGACGAACTCATTGCTCTGTATGCGGCATCAGATGCCTGCATTGTTTCTTCGACTCGCGATGGAATGAATCTGGTATCCTTCGAGTACATCGCAACTCAACAGAAACGTAAAGGCGTTTTGATCTTGTCTGAGTTTGCCGGTGCTGCTCAGAGTCTCAACGGAAGCATTGTTGTGAATCCATGGAACACCGAAGAGCTAGCAGAGGCATATCATGAGGCAGTCTCAATTAGCGAAGAACTGCGAGCCGCTCAATTTGCAAAGCTCTACAAGTATATCTCAAAATACACAAGGTATGCCTATACCCAGATGGTATCGTTCTTCTTCGGCAATACTAACATCGCGTAGTGCTTTCTGGGGTCAGTCATTTGTGGCTGAGATGTCTCAATGCTCATCTTGATAGACTAGAATCTATCTTTCTTTCGTTCTCTTCGGTCTTTCTGGGTACAGTCAAGCGTGGCGGTTATGTTTCTTTTTCGTGACGGCAAAGCATTCGATTCTAATACATAGATCTAATGACGTTCTGACAAGGCTTAGCAACAGTCATATGTTTAATTCAGGTGAGATAGCCATATAGCGATCGGGTGTTAGCGGTTGTCGTACTACAAATCAATACACAAATCAAAATTTGGCATCTCATTAAGCTTTCACACTTACGGAAGCTTCAGTATCTTAAGCCAAGTGCGGCAACATATATGAATAGAAAAGGATAGGGCAGCATAGACTTCCTGAGATGGTTATGGGAGAAATATACCATATCCACTTAATGGCACCGAAATTTAGTTGCAGCAAAATATTTACGGCCAAGCATCCACATTCTTCTTAACAAACTCAGCGAAAGAAGTTGGTTCAGCGTCAAGCAGCTTCAAGCTCTCGTCCAAGCTATGTCCGAGAAAGTATCCAGGTGACTCAATCAGCAGATGGTTTTCGAGGAATTCCCGAGCCACGGGCGGCGGGAGAACCGCTTTATATTGATCGGCGGACACCGACACAAAGACAGCCTTCTTTCCTGTTACCTCAGTAAAAGTTTTCACAATCTCGTCGGCGGTGTAGTAGCCAGCGGCTTCGAGAACCTGCTTCCCATTCAACTCAGAAGCATGCTTAATGACAGCTTTGACGAAAAGGCCTGATCTTCGTTAGGTACAGTCAAACTCTTCTAGTGCTTCTCAGGACCTGCAAAAACAAACTTACCGGTGTCACTCGCAGCATCGAACAAGGGAAACTTAGCCTTGGCACCATCAACTGGGTAGAAAAGCTGATAGGTGCCATCGTCACTCTTTTTCAGCATCTGCAGGTAATTGAGCATGAAGTAACCCGCCAGAACGAAAGTACAAGGGACGCTCGAAGCACGGATGTATCTTTCTATCTCAGCCTTGCCATCGAAATGGGGTACATGACTGAGTCGTCCATTAGTGGAGTCGGTGACGTGGATGAGAGAAGAGAAGATCAGGTGCTGGATGCCGAGTTCTTTGGCTACATCGGCGACATTCTTGCCCTGGGTGAGTTCGGTGTCCTTGTTAACGTATTCCCAGTAGTTGGTTACTAGGAAGATGGTGTGGGATCCTTCGAGCGCTGTGCGGAGGGATTCGACAGAGTTCAGGTTAGCCTATGTGAGGTTAGTTAGGGGCTTTTGCAGGCTCACTGGAGCTCACGTAGGGTTTGCAGACTGACCGTAACGACTTCCACTCCACGCTTTTGCAGCTCCTGAGCGGCGGGCTTGCTGGTATCGCGGGTGATGCCTCGGATCTTGAACTCTTTGGAGAGCTGGGAATCAGCCAGAATGTGGTTAATCACGGAGCCGCCCTGGTTGCCCGTGGCACCGAAGACCGTGATAAGCTTGGACATATTGGTCGTAGTTTTCGTGGATTGATGATGGTTGAGTGTTGATATCTAGCACTTGTATGGAATGCTATCGGATTTCAGAGTTATGGTGTTTGCTTCTGGTAGTTGAATCTTGATTCGACAATATGGATTGTTTCCAGTCTTATATATCCCAGTTCTCTACGTTGTATGTTCTATATTGTATCTCTTACCCCTCAGTCCATATTAGATATCCTGAGTACTACTAGTATAGATTATCTAGACCTGGGAGTCCTATTGGCTGAATGAGCTACTAGTACTAGTAGTAGTAGTAGTAGTAGTAGTAGTAAGCAGCTTTCTGAGCATTTAGTCACTTCCGTTCACTTGCACACAGTCTCTTCGGGTTTTACGGGGTCCGAGCTGATTAATGCTGCGCCACAGAATGCTATGGTAACATCGTAGCATCGACAGTTGATATGCATTACGCACCATGCGTTGTTTGGTATCTTGGGATGCTTCAGTAAGACAGAGTTACTAATCAGACTGAGATAACTACGGAGTAACCTAACGAACTAGTACTCTATTTACCCCCTTCCCCGGTTTCCCTTCCTCTTTTTACGTGCTTTGTATTTTTGCTTACTCTGTTCTTTCCGACAGATCCTCAGCGATCAGCATTAAACATTCTCTTTCGAGTCATTCGGTAGTTATGTCTATCATTACCTCATGATTATTATCCCGCTGGATCTACACAATACGCAGTAGGTGGAAGTCTACCTTAAATGGAAGCCCCACGGCCTGCTAATCGAGGGTTGGAAAGGTCCTACTGTGTAAAGTAGCCCTCTCGAGATTGCGGGGTTAACATCACACGATTTCCATGCCGGAGGTCTGACCACTTCAATACGGTCGGTGAACTTGGCTCACTTTCGTTCGGCTTTTAATTTCCTAACTTTATTGTTCAGAGACATACATCGAGACTAGGTGTCTTGAACTGTCCCGAGTCATTGATTGAGTTACAAACCACATGATAAGATAGGGTTATATCTCATGAAGTCTATCGGATGCTGGACTACCATTGGCGAGGTCAGAAACGTGGACTGATGTAGTCGTGAGATAATATGAACATCATCCGGGGCGAAAGATGTGCCATCTACTTCCCCTGTCGAGAAGTACTCCGCATTATAGGAAGTTACTGCCCGTCGTACCAAGGGTAAGGGTACGCGGCTTGTGGCCAGGAATGACGTGGGCGTAACATATCCCGTCTCAACCAGCAACTTCGCACCATTGTGTTGGTTTCTCAAAGCGAGGACTAAGCCAATGATACCGATAATCGATCGCTGTGAGTTTAGTGATGGACAATGGCCACCGCGTACAAGTACCCCCCTGTGTGAGACGTTGTCGAATCCGCTCGGCACAGAATGCAATTAACTTCTTTCAGCGGGGATTATGCTTCACACGGGTTCCCACTGGCAAGCCGATGGACATGGAAAGTCGATAATCACGTTTTCCAGACCGCTATGGAATGCGGATCGCCCAGTAGTTCGAGGTCAAGCCTCACTTACCCGGGAGATGGCATGCTTTCTGTGGCTTGGCCACGGGCCAGGTCCCACGGTTAGGTCGGACAAACACCCTCAAATTCATGCTATGTACTCCGTATTGATCGCTCCAACAATTTAGCATGGATAAAAATAATAATAGAGGAAAGACAAAGCGACAAGGGATTGGACATCAAAGGACCCTGAACCCGGGGGAAGGAAAAGTCAAAAAGTCCAAAAGGGAAATGCAGAGGGAGAATCGTCGAAGAAAGCTTCCAGGAGCGGATGAGGTATCCACGCCAAGCCCCCTGGACAGCCAGGGTCTGGGACTAGGCTTTCTTGTCACGTCTGGTCATCCTTCAGAAAGGGGTCTAGTCTGATGGGTCCCTGGGCTGCTCTAGCCAGATCTTGTCCTCTGCCAAGGCGGACGCTTGCGCGTCTCCGCCACTATCTTGGAAGGCTGCCGTAATCCTGTAACACCGAGTCGTTTGGTCCTTATTTTCCGAATCGAGTTGGAAATGGGTTCAATTATGCCCTAGAACCCGTTCGAACTGGTCCCCAGGTATGTCCACTCCTACATGCATACATACATGACTGTTGTAAAGTCCTTGTTGGGCAAACGTCCTGTTATGTAGGTGGCGATTCTGAGAAAGGGACTTTCGAAGGCATTAACAACTGTCAATCAAGTGGAGATGCATTCATCAGAGTGCAGAAAGCCGCGTATGCACTTGGCTTAGGGACACAGCAGGTCCTTTTATATGTACAGTACTGAGTACATACAGAGTCTGGATGTATGTATTGTTTGTACATCGGTATACTTACAGCGTGTGTCATATAATTAGCGGCCAATATTGTAGGTGACCCAAAGTATGAGGAGGAAAGTAAATTTCGAAGAATTTCGATTAAGCTCGACAATTAGGTATCATGCCCCCTTGATTGAAGTTTGACTCTCACTAGAAGATCATCACGATCATCGCGTTACCACTTGTACTGGTTTATCTGGCTAGCCGGCTGGCGTGGCACAGATCTGATTGATTGTCTCTAGACTTTGTCGATGATGGCGTATGCCCATCGAAAATTTCTTTCAATGGTCGTTCAATTATTAAGGCGTCTTTGATTTAAGATCATGTCTAGATATTATATCCACCATCGATGATTCGTCAGCAAAGGTGGGAAGCGGGTACTCGAGTTCTACTAGAGGCTGTGATTGAGATTTCTTCTGGTGATGGGTCATGACATTCGTAAGGCTACGGTTCAAACCGCCCCTTTGAATTTCCTGATTGATCTGGAAGAGGGTCCATTTTGCTCTCTTTCTTGCCCTGAGAAAGCACGATAATTGTCAGGTTCCCCAAGTTTAACGCCGAGTGTGCCGAGAGGGTTCCCCCGAGCGTTCTCTAAATGGAACCGCGTGCTGTCTAACGTGCACGGTCGCGCATCCTAAGGATACGATGGTGACATTTTTAGTCTGTTGATCAGAGAGCCGCGTAAGACTGAGCTGACGCCGTCATTTGGGCTGTACCACCAGATGGAGAAAATGAGTCCTCTATGAATCTTCTATGGATTGGAGTTGGACTGCATGTACTGTACGTATCACAAGCAGCGGATGATAACAGGTTGGGATTTATCAAAGACCAAATGGATTGCGTAGTCATGTAGGTCGAGTCGCAGGGGATGAGACCATCCAGAAGGATAAAATTCCACGCGGACAGGGCCAAGCTTTTGAGAGATTCATCAGCATACTCCTCAGCCGGTGGAGAGCAATAACCGTACTGACCATCAGATGCGAATGAAACGGCATCTCAAAGGCTTCTTGTTCGTCAAATTAGTGGAGCCCGACGTCTATCCTCGTGAAATCCTGTCAATTCTGTCGGGATAAGCCGTTGGAAGGTTGGAGATGACAACCAATTTGACTGCCGTGCCAAGAGAAAGTAGAAGATACAAGAGAGTGTTAAATGTGTATTGCCAAATCCCTCGGGACACAGAGCGTCAACGGATGGAAACAGTTTAGTCTAGCGGGCAGCGAAAGGGTCTTGGCCATGGTTCAGTTTACTGTTTCGGGGCGGCACACACGCGGCTTGCGGTGCAAATGCTGCACCCTGATTGGGACGATGACCCCAAGGCTGACGACGCTTCGCCCTCGCTGCTGGCGTGGAAAAAGAGACCCAATGACCTGAAAATTCATCAACTAGTAGTAGTTTAGTTGCGCTTCTCTCTCTTCTCTGTTTCTCCCTCTCCACTTGGACTGACCCTCTCATTCTTCCTCCCTCTCTCGCCCTCTCTGTCTCCCTTTTGGGATCTTCTCTCCTCTCTCTCCTCGAGGTATATTTTTTTTTTTTTTGGAAGTTGATTTTATTTTTTCTTTTTGTTCCTTTTTCGCCCCTAATTAATTCTTTCCCCCTCGGCTTCACTTACCTGAAGCTTTTTTTGTGTTTTTTTTGTGTTTCCCCCCCCTTCTAATTGTATTGGCAAGAACGACTGGTGAACAATCACTTTCTCTCGTTAATTCCATTTTCACCCTTTGTGGTTGTCGTAAGTCGCGGACACGACTACGTTGACCAGCGCCAAGCGTGGCGACCGCTTAGTTGGGCTGTGCGACCATTGTACCCTACGGACTGACCTCACTGACCATCATTCTTTCTTACTTACACGACTGACTCGACCCAACAACATCCACACTCACCCTTCTCCCATCCTTCTCTCTTTCTCATTTCGGCCAGAGAGAAAAGGACGATCAAAATCAATCACCGAAGGGAGTCATTGAGGATTTATTCAACCTGGAGTGTCAAGTCCGACCGATCGCCGTTGGTGCTCTTCACCCCCCTACCACACACCACTATGGCCGACAGCATACACCACGCTCAACGGGCGCAAGGCTCTAATAACTTCGATGCCTCCGAGCTCACCAACGCTTTCGAACAACTCATGCGTAATAAAAGGTTCCATCGTCTCCAGGAACACTCGAGGGCTCGTACTCATTCCCCATCGCCGTCTCCGTCTCAGATGTCTTCGCCTGGGCCTTACGCACCACCCCATCCCTCGCGAGCACCACCACCACCTCCGACCGCAGCTCCTTTTCAGCCACCCCAGTACCCACCACAACCGCAACAATACCCATCAACTCAATCCTCAATGCTGCAGGGGCTACCAATTGTTCCATCGCCGCCGCAGGATCAAGCATCCTTAAAATTCCGAAATCTCCTCCACGTCCTGTCCGTAACCCCGACAAAGTATGAGAACCCGGGTCTTCTCGATGAAGCCCTCTCCCTTATCCCGCTCGACCGATTATATTCAGAAGCAGAGGAAGAGAGTCAAATCTTGCAAGCACAGGCTGCTAGCGTTGGTGGCAGACCCGAATGGGGGTACCAAGATTGTGTTATCCGGTCTCTCTTAAGGTGCGTTTAGTAGCATATGCCTATACGCTATATCTATCATAATTATTTATGACCTTGAGTACTAACCGCGCCTTTCACAGATGGTTCAAAGGATCGTTCTTCAAATTTGTTAACAATCCCC